CCAGTAGATAGTTGTATGTCATAGCTGCACATCCTTCTAGCTGCCGTATGTGGGACGCGGCCTCAGCATGGCCGGAGAAGCAGTGCGTCGGTGCGCGCCCGGGATCCGAACCCTGGGCGGCCAGTAGCGGAGCACGCGCACTTAACCGCTAAGCCACGGGGCCGGCCCTGATGCTCAGTTTAAATCCAGAACTACGGTTTTTTCTTAACCTTATTCTTCTTACATCATAATCTCTTTTGAACTCTGCCAAAAACCTCAGTTCTCAACCACATAAACATAACTTGCTTTATCCCACACTACACAAACAGTAGTCTCAGGATAATAACTGCAAAACTACCATTAGCAATAAAGTGATTGAAAACAGTTTCAGTTTTTTTTTTTGTTTCTGTTGTTTTTGTCCTAAGCATAAATCCCATTAAGAATGTATAATCAAATCACTGTGCTTTGAAGTCACTTTTAGAATATTTCCTTTCTTGTTAAGCCACTAAGTGGGTATACAATTCGGCTCATTTGATTAATTTTACATTTAATTTTGGGGAATTCCCTTTAAAAAATTTTTTTTTTTTTTAAGATTTTATTTATTTATTTTTTCCCCCTAAAGCCCCAGTAGATAGTTGTATGTCATAGCTGCACATCCTTCTAGTTGCTGTATGTGGGACTCGGCCTCAGGATGGACGGAGAAGTGGTGCCTCGGTGCGCACCCGGGATCCGAACCCGGGCCACCAGCATCGGAGCGCGCGCACTTAACCACCAAGCCACGGGGCCGGCCCTTAAAATTTAATTTTGTTTCGTAGTTGTATAAATTATATATAGTTCCAAAAACAAATCTAGAAAACAATCTACATTCACAGTTTTGTGCAGCCACTACCTGTGTCTAGTTCCAAAACATTTTTAAATGTTTAAAGAATTCTATCCACGTTCCCTCTAACCTATTTACTCCTTTCCCCTTATGTAATTATTTTTTTTTAATGTTATGGTTTATCTTTCCTTTTTAAAAGATATAAGCATATATCTTTCCTTGTTTTTTAGTTAAATAGTAGCATACTATAAACATTTTTTCTGTCAATTCTTGTCCTTTTTCTTCATTTTTAGATTACATATTAAAGATGTTTACCCTTTGTGATATAAGCTGTGTTGTGGTTGTCATTATCGTGTGTCATGCCATCTGGATCCCCCACCCCCCCATTATCACTTGTCTTTTAACTTTGCTCCTCTTTGAGGAGTTCTCGCTACCTGACTCTGAGTTATGTTCAGGAGTTTGGGAAGAACGAGTGGGTAAGGGATTGGGTCATAAGATTCACAGTAGTTTTTGTGGAGATGAGAGGCTTGATCGTAATGGATAACAGGGAGGTTGGATTTCTGATGGCGATTAATGTAAACAGGAATGTAAGGTGGAATGGATTTAGTCCCTGTCATTGTTAGTGGGTGTTGTGATTTTTCGTTAAATTAACATTTGTTTGATAGAGCTTCTGGGTGTCAGATGGTGAGTCAAAGTTCTACAAAAGACGGCAAGGGAAAGGGAAATAGAGAAGTTTATTACTCATAAGTCCTGGAAGAGGTACGCAGCATGCCTTGTGGGGCCACATGGGGAGGTCAGTGCAGAGTGCAGGCAGAGAACGAGCAGCAGGACCTGGGGCACATGTCTTTATTAATGTGGAGTGCTTTGAGGTCCCCAGGCTAAGATTGGATAGGTCAATTCAAACCAAAAAGAGCAAGGGTTTTTTTTGATAAGCTTCATGGGGTCTTATCTGTTTATCACAAGGAGTGTTGGGGGAGTCAAAGCAGGAACTTATATTTACTTGTGACCCTCCCGGGCTTGCAGGAGGGGCTAGTGTCAGTTCAAGGCTTCTGCAGGCCACTTAGCCATACAAAATGGATGCTGAGGCAGCAGTGTTGTGGAGTAGTTGAGCTAAACTCAACAGTGAGTTGGGAGCTTGGGGCTGACGTAAGATCCTAAAGAGGTAATGCAATGAATTGGTGGTTTGAGGGGTTTTAGACAACGTAGAACCAACTGTTACAATGTGCCTCTGATGACAGTCACTCGATGACTCCTATAGTGGACCTCAGTGGTTGGACTACTCAGGAGAGAGTGGTTCCCACCTGGCAGATAGGGATTTCTTTCTTTTTTTTTTTTTTTTTTAAGATTTTATTTATTTATTTTTCCCCCAAAGCCCCAGTAGATAGTTGTGTGTCATAGTTGCATGTCCTTCTAGTTGCTGTATGTGGGACGCGGCCTCAGCGTGGCCAGAGAAGCGGTGCATTGGTGCGCGCCTGGGATCCGAACCCGGGCCGCCAGCAGCGGAGCGCGCGCACTTAACCGCTAAGCCACGGGGCCGGCGCGCAGATAGGGATTTCTGCCATGCCTTCACCAGTGTCCTGAGACTGTCTTCAGATTGGTTTACTAAGTTTTTGATTCAATGGGGTTTTTCTATTAAAAACTATAATTTTAACTCTGCCTTTCAGTAGAATATATGTTTAACGAATGTTAACCTAAATAAGTATTTGTTGTTTTTGTTCTTATTTCAGGCTACAGACAAGAGAAAAGCTTTAGAAGAGACCAAAGCCTACACAACCCAATCCCTAGCTAGTGTTGCTTATCAAATAAATGCATTGGCTAACAATGTACTCCAATTGCTGGATATCCAAGCCTCTCAGCTTCGGAGAATGGAGTCTTCCATCAATCATATCTCACAGGTAACAGCTTATAAAAGGCTTTAAATTCACATTTATCAACTGGCAGCTTATGTCAAAGAAGTAGAAAGCCTGGAAATACGGATTCTTTACTCATCTTCTTATCGAGTAACTGTAGTCCTCACTTTCACCTTCAGCTTTGAGTTCAGTAAACCTCCTCTTTTTTTTAAGTTTTTGCTGTTCTTGTGGCAAAATAAACATAACATAAAATTTACCATTTTAACCATTTTTACGTGTATAGTTCACTGGCGTTAACGGATATTCGCATTGTTGTGCAGCCATCACCACTTTTCCTATTCTTCTTTTAAGACCTTTTTTGAGGTAAAATAAATTGCACATAATTAAGGCATACAATTTTATAAATTTTGATACACATATTACCCACGAGCCCGACAACACAGTCAAGATAATGGACACCCCATAAAATTTCCTCATACTCCTTTGTTGTCCCTCCTTTCCATCCCCTGTCCTTAGCTTTCTGTCACTGTGGATTAGTTTACATTTTCTAGAATTTTATATAAATGGAATCATATGGTATATACTATTTTTTTGGTCTGGCTTCTTTCGCTCGGCATAATTATTTTGAGATCCATCCATGTTGTTGTGTATAAAAATAGTTAATTCCTTTTTATTGCTGAGTACTATGCCATTGTTTCACGTTTGATTTATCCATTTACATGTTGATGGACATCTGGATTGTTTTCAGGTTTTGCCTATTACAAATAAAACTTCTATGAACATTTGTGTACAAGTTTTTATGTGGTTATATGCTTTTATTTCTTTTGGGTAAATACCTCTGAGTGGAATGGGTAAGGTTACATGGTAGATGTCTGTTTAACTTTATAACCAAATTTATAGCCAAATTGTTTTTAAAGTGGTTATACCCTTTTACCTTCCCACTAGCACTGTATGAGAGTTCTAGTTGCTCCACATCTTCACCAGCACTTGCTATGTCAGTCTTTTTAATTTTAGCCTAATAGGTGTGTAGTTGTATCTTATTGTGGTTTTTTTTGTGTGTGTATGTGAGGAAGATCAGCCCTGAGCTAACATCCATGCTAATCCTCCTCTTTTTTTTTGCTGAGGAAGACTGGCTCTGAGCTAACATCTATTGCCAATCCCCCTCCTTTTTTTTTACCCCCAAAGCCCCAGTAGATAGTTGTATGTCATAGTTGCACATCCTTCTAGTTGCTGTATGTGGGACGCGGCCTCAGCATGGCCAGAGAAGCAGTGCGTCGGTGTGCACCCGGGATCCGAACCTGGGCCGCCAGTAGCAGAGTGCGTGCACTTAACCGCTAAGCCACGGGGCCGGCCCTCTTATTGTGGTTTTGGTCTTCATTTCCCTAGTCATTATTGATGTTGAGCATCTTTTCTTGTGGTTTCTGTAGATTTCAGTATTTAAGCCTTGCACATCTTTTGTCAAATTTATTCCAAATGATATCATATTTTCAATGCTATCGTAAATGGTATTATTATAATTTTCTTTTAGTGAGGAAGATTAGCCCTGAGCTAACATCTGTTGCCAATCCTCCTGTTTTTGCTGAGGAAGATTGGCCCTGGGCTAACTTCTGTGTCCATTTTCCTCTGCTTTATATGTGGGATGCCTGCCACAGCATGGCTTGATAAACAGTGTGTAGGTCTGTGCCCGGGATCCTAACCCGTGAACTCTAGGCTGCTGAAGCGGAGCAAGTAAACTTAACCACTATGCCACTGGGCGGCCCTAAGTGGTATTATTTTTATAATTTCAACTTGATTGTTCATTTCTTGCTTGTGTATGCAGAAATACAATTGATATTTGTTTATTTTGTGTCCTTGTGAAAGTCACTTAATAGTTGTAGTAGGTATTATATAGATTCCATTGGATTTTCTACATGGAAGATCATGTTGTCTATAAATAAAGAGAGTTTTACTTCTTTCCTTTTCTTTCTTTTTTTTTTTCCGTAGTGCACTAGTTTGAAGCTTCAAGACAATGTTGAATAGGAGTAGTGAAAGTGGACATTGTTGTCTTGTTGCTATCTTAGTGGAAAGCATTCAGCCTTTCACTATTATGAATGATTATATTCTGTAGGTTTTTCAGAAATATGCTTTATGAATTTGAGGAAGTTGCCTTTTAGTACTAGTTTGCTGAGTTCTTATCAGGAATGGATGATGGATTTTGTCAAATGCTTTTTCTGCATCTGTTGAAATGATCTTTTTTTCAGGGGGGGGGGTCTCTTTAATATCGTGAATTGCTTTTTTTTTGAATGTTAAACTGGCCTTTCTTTCCTGGGATAAACTCCACTTGACTGTGATGTGTTATCCATTTCACAGATTGTTAGGCTTAATTGGCTAAAATTTTAAGAACTTTTGCTTCTACACTCCTGAGAATTATTTGTCTGTAGTTTTCTTGTAGTGTCTTTGTCTGGTTTTGGTGTCAATGTAATGCTGATCTTACAGAATATATTGGGCAGTATTCTGTCCTCTTCAATTTTATGGAAAAGTGTGTGTAGAATTGATATTTGTTCTCCCTTAAATGTGTGGTAGAATTCACCAGTGAAGCCATCTGGATCTGGAGTTTTTCTTGGTAGGAAAGTTTTAACTGTATATTTAGTTTCTTTAGTAGATACAGGGTTGTTTTATTTATCTGTTTCTTCTTGGGTGAGCTTTGTATTTTTCCAGGAATTTGGCTGTTTCACCTTAGTTGTCGTATTAATTTGCATAAAGCTGTTAATAATAACATTCTCTTATCCTTTTAATATATGTAAAATCTATAGTGATGTCACATTACTCATTCTTGATATTGGTAATTGATGTCTTTTCTGTTTTTTTTAACTGATCAGTATGGCTAGTTTATCAATTTTATTATCTTCTAAAAAAAACCTTAGCTTTTGGTTTCATTAATTTTCTATATTGTCTTTCTGTTGCATTAATTTTCATTCTGATGTTAATTCTTTTTCTTTTACTTGGGACTAATTTGCTCTTATTTTGTACTTAAGGTAAAAGTTGAGGTCGTTGAGAGCCTTTGTCTTTTCTAACAGAGGTGTTTTAGATCTATAAATTTCCCTCTAAATAGTGTGTTACCTGTATCTCATAAATTTAAATATGTTGTGCTTTCATTTTCATTCGGCTCAAATTTCTAATTCTGCTTTTTGATTTCTTCTCTGGCCCAGAGATTATTTGGAAATGTGTTAGTTTCCAATATTTCAAAATTTTTGAAGGATGTTTTTGTTATTGATTTCTAATTTAATCCCATAGTAGTCAGAAAATATTCTTTATATGATTCAAGTCCTTTCAAATTTATTAAGAATTGTTTTATAACCCAGAATATAGTCTATCTTGGTAAATATTTTGTGTGTACTTGAGAAGAATGTATATTTTGTTGCAGTTTGGTGGAATGTTCTATAAATCTCATTAGGTCAAGTTGGTTGATAACATTGTTCGGTTCTATGTCTTTACTGATTATTCTGTATACTTGTTTTATTAATTATTGAGGAAGGTATGTTGTAGTCTGACTATAATTTTGGATTAGTTTTATTTCTCTTTGTATTTTAATCATTTTTTGTTTTATGTATTTTGAAGCTATGTTATTAGGTGCGTAAAGGCTTAGGCTTGTAATGCCTATTGATGGGTTGACTCCTTTCTCATTGTAAAAAGACTCTTTTTTTTATCATGGGTAAACCTAGGTTTGAGTTGGCAAACTAGTTAGTACAGGCACTGGGGAGATAGAATTGGTTCCTGCAATGGAAACCCTAACTGAATTGATGCTGGGTTCTCAACTTTTTGTTCTGAAGGTCCCTTTACATCTTAAATTATTGAAGATCCAAAAGGGCTTTGGTTTATGTGGGTAGATCTTCCAATATTTATCATATCAGAAATTAAAACTGAGAAATTAAAAAATATTTATTAACTCATTTAACAATAAAATAAACCCATTACATGTTAATACAAATAGCATTTTAATGAAAAATAACTGTTATCCAAAACAAAAGTTTTTGCAAATGGCATTGTTTTTTACATTTCTGCAACTCTTTTTAATGTCTTGTTTAATAGAAGATAGCTGGATTCTCATATCTGTTTTTGCATTCAGTCTTGTGATTTGTTGTTTTGGTTGAAGTATATCAAGAACGTCTGGCTTCACACAGATATATAGTTAGAAAAGACAGGATCTTGGGGACTCTAGGGGTCTTTGGACCACAGCTAGAGAACCATTTCTCTATGAGCTTATTACAGCTTAGTCCCTATGGATATGTATCCCCAATATCCTACATATACTGGCCGTCATGCTTTCAATGAAAAATATTTTCTGAATTTATTATGGGTTTCCACCTGTAGTTTCTTCTTGCTGTTTGTTACACAGTTCTTGGTTGATCCTTACTGACTTCAGTCATATTTTTGGTGCCTGTATCCACAATATCAAGGGACTTCTGCTAATCCCTAATGGCCTGTTGATATTTATTTTAAGTTTCCTCAACCAGTTTCTTAAAGATATTTCATGAATTTTAAGATTAAGCATGCTACTGTCCTTTGGCACTTGTTATTGGTTGAGTTGTGTCCTCCAGAATTCATGTGTTAAAGTCTTAACTCCTGGTACCTCAGAATGTGACTGTATTTGGTGATAGGGTCTTTAAAGAGGTAATTAAGGTAGAGTGAGGTCACTAGGTGGGTCCTCATCCAGTATGATTGGTGTCCTTATAAGAGAAGATTGGGACATAGACACACTCAGAGGGAAGACTATGTGAAGACAGAGAAGAGGGCCTTTTTCAAGCTAAGGAGAGTGTCTCTCAGGAGAAACCAGCCCTGCTGACATGTTGATCTTAGACTTCTAGCCTCTAGAATTGTGAGAAAATAAATTTCTGTTGTTTAAACCACCCAGTCTGTAGTACTTTGTTATGGTAGCTTGTTGTGATGTTCTTGGATAGGAATGCCTGAGGTGCTCACCTGGACCGTATTTACTCATGGCAAGCCCTAGAGACATTCCCCAGCCCTGCCACTGGGGCCAGTGTTTTGGCTGGATCGGCGCTCATGGT